GACTTAGGGTTTAAGGGTTTAGGGCTCTGAGGGTTCAGGGGTTTGTGGGCAGCACTCGCTACAGCAGCAGAGAAACAAGAAGTGGAAGCGCCAGGGACATGGTAGTGCAGTACCTGTAGCAGATCAGCTCTCCTTAATATGGTCGCCCTTAGGATCGAATTCCTGAGCCGTATGGTCTTTGGGCCCAAAAGCCTCAAAATATGAGGGTGTAGAGCCCGAAAGCCTCAAAATACAAGGGCTTAGAGCCCAAAAGCCTCTAACTATGAGGGTGGTTGTCAAAATTATGGTCCCTTTTGGGGTACCCTAAATAATAGGTGCCGTATTATAATAAGGACCCCAAAAGGGACCGTAATTTTGACAACCACCCATGAGAGTTTGGGGTTTAGGGCGGCCCCTGAGAGACTTGGGTGCTGAGGCCGCCGCCCATCTGCCACATCATCGCCTGGGCTTTGAAGTAGCCAGGGAGAAAAAATATATAGACTTCTACTTCAGAATGGTTCCTCTAAGGAACAGGTCCCCTAAACCCTAAACCCCCTAAACCCCTAAACCCTAGACCCCCTAAACCCCCTAAACCCTAAACTCCCAAAAAAGTATTAAAGTATGGTACTCCAAAGCCCAGTTGCATTGATGGCGACGTCGGTGTCCACCAAGGTGTAATCATACCAGGCGAAGCCTCGCCCCCATGTGGGGCTGAGGGGTTTAGGGTTTAGGGTTTAGGGGTTTAGGGTTTAGTTTTTTTTTTTCGGGCCCTTTTCCAACTGCCAAGGTAGCCGAAATTCCCTACCGGGAGGAGCCAGGAGGAGGTTGGGACGAGGGTTTAGGGTTTAGGGCTTAGGGTTTAGGGTTTGGGGTTTATTCACAGGAACGCGGAAAACCGTCGAAGGTTCAGTTCAGACGGCTCGAATCCCTGTCACTATTCAGTGGCCGTATTGAAGGCTTGTGCCTTAAGGCAGCACTTAAGATGTGGGGTGCAGGACTCGGGTTGTTTCTGGAGTCGAGCTCCTTGAGGTGTAGGGTGGTGCACGCAGAAGCCTAGCCAATGCAATTAGCACAAGGCAGGATACTTTTTTGATGCTTCATGTCTACATTACTCCTCACAATCGAATCTGCAAGTGTCTGTCTGCAAAGAGGTTGTCCGTCATGGCTTTGGCAACACGATCTCTTCTAGTGTTAACCGAGCAGTAGAAGCAAGAGCAGTATCCGAAGTAGTTACGGTAACTCAAAGTCCTAAACGTCGTCATTGCCTACCGAAACAAGTGCGTACAAGTAAGGGCTATAGCATGAGCTCATGTCATAGTCCTTGTGCAGCGCAGGAGAAGCAACTTGGACAAAAAGGTTCCTGAACCCTAGAAGGTGTTGCGGTCTACTTGATAGTCCAAAAAAGGCTGGAGTTTTGCTTGTTGGAACACATTGGATGCACAAACCCTAGGGCCGCGAGGAAGAACTTTGGGCGAACCGTGGTGCACATTTTCCCCACCGAGTGGATGTAGTAGCCCACCTTAACCGTGACATCCCTCGTTGCCCGCCACAGTCAAACCATCCCGGCTGCATCTTGGCTTCACGGAAGTAAAACAAGGGACCCCGCCAAAACCCCAAGGCCCTAAACCCTACAATGCTACTGCTGAATTCCTAAGCTCCAAACACTATATACCCTCATCCCACAACCCCTCAATCCTAAACCCCAGTCGAACCCCAGATAAATCCCCGACACATTGAACCTCTAGATTCAGGATAATGACAATTGAGATACTTGCTGCCCTGCCCTGAGAAACTTTACTTCTTGTTTAAACTTTTGACGAAAATAAGCCGTAGAGTCTTTATCCTGCAACCCAGCCTGGACCATAAGAAATCTAACTTCTTGAGGACTTGTCTAAGGAAAGCATAGTAAGGGACCCTGCAAAGGTACGTAGGTTTCTCCGGGTCCAAGAAGCCCTGACAACCCGAAAGCTGCGATGCCTGTCTTGGCTTACTTCTGAATCCCCCCTAAAAGTGAAACTTTTAGCCTAGATATTGTAGTTCATATAGAAACCCCCAAAAAAGTTAAAGTCCTAAGAGCCAACCAAAAGAACGCCAAGCCTTCCTTCCAGCTCAGATCTAAGTGCTCGATCAGGAATTGAGCTGTCACGTGGCGCAGATGGTTGCACATCCAACCCACCTGAGGCTTTGGAGCCACGGCTTAAACCCTAAACCCCTAAACTCCTAAACCCCTAAACCCTAACTAAACCCCAAACTAAACCCCAAACCACCCTAAACCCCTAA